ATTATTATTATTATTATTATTATTATTATTATTATTATTATTATTATATGAATTCGTTCAACAGAGGGGTCTGCAGAATCCTGGATTTCATGAAATGAGCATGCAACATTGCACCACGAGCTCTGTCCCTATATGTGTGTCCGCGATATCATAATGCACTACAAACGTCATAGAGCTTACATCATGACAATACAACACTTGTTTGCAATTTGCACCTAGGTATGAAGATGTCTCCGTAATCCAGCATTTTGATTCATACTACACCTGAAGCCAAAAAATTAGCAACACTGCCCAGTTTTCAGAACAAGCTATGTTAAAACACAGTTGGCAGATTTATGGCTCCGTGTGTTCTTCAAACACAGTCATGGTCCCCTCCAATGCCTACTCTTGAATCCATTTCTAATTTGTACACACTCCTCGATTTACAACCCAAGTTCTGATGTTTAACCATTCTGGAGTCACATGATCACACTCCAGGGGCGCTTGGCAACCTGGCTGTATTTATAGCCATTTGCAGTATTCCACAGTCACATTTTACGACAGCTTTGTTGAAAACAGACATTTAGTTAATGACTGTAGCATTCGCTTAACAACCACTTGAAAAAAAGATTGTAACATTGGATTAGTTGCAGAGGTGGTATTCAGCAGGTTCTGACCAATTCTGGAGAACTGGTAGCGGAAATTTTGAGTAGTTCCGAATCCCAGCTCTGACTGGCCCCGCCCCCATCTACTCTCTGCCTCCCGAGTCCCAGCTGATCTTCTTTTGGCTGAGTCTTCTTTTGTTGCCTTGCACAGGAGAACGGAGCTGGAAAGCAGGTTAGTGGGGTGGGGGAATGGGGATTTTGCAGTAACCTTCCCCTGCCACGTCCACAGACACCAAGCCACGCCCACAGAACCAGTAGTGAAAAAGTTTGAATCCCACTACTGATCAGTCACAATCAATAAGCTCCTTTACAGTCGTAACCCAAGGACTACCTGTACTACAGATATCCCAAATCTTAGAAATAGAATAAAGCTGGAAATTTTCTAGTCCACCCCCCTGCTCAAGCAGGAGAACTTATACTATTTCAGATAAGTGACTGTTTAGTCTCTTCTTAAAAACCTCCAACGATGGAGAGCCCACAATTTCTGAAGGCCAGCTGTTCCATTGGCTAATTGGAATTAAGATTAGTTTCCAGCCATTGTTTCTTGTCCTGCCCTCTGATGCTTTGGAGAATAATTTGACCCTTTGTGGCAGCCCCTGAAATACTGGAATGCTGCTACCATGTTCCCCCTAGTCCTTCTTTTCTCTAGACTAGCCAAACCCAAATCCTGCAGCCATTCTTCATATGTTTTGGTCTCCAATCTTCCCAAATTCTCCATCTGAGACAGCCACATGGCCTAAAGAGGAATGTGGGACATTACTTTAGCCTGCAATATATTAATACAGTCCACCTACACAAAATGAAAGGAACAGTATGGGAAGTATGCTCAGATACCACCATTCTCCTTTCTTCAGGGAGAGAATCTTATGTATTCACACATTTCTTATTTCAGGAAAAGTGAATAATTTCCTTATGATTAATAGCCTTTTATTTCTTCTCTCTTACTTCTTTTTAATATTTGAGCTTTAACCCAATTTTCTATTCAACCAGGATAAAATCAAAACAGCTAACATAAAAAATGGTTAATAGAGGAGATCTTCTTTAAGTTAGATTTGATATGTTGGGATTTTTTGGCTAAGTTTTTATTCCTTTTTGCCTGCCAGTCAGTTTTGCACACCGATCAGTTGTGTCTGCTTCTTTGGGCTCTCTCACACTTCCTTCTGCCATTGATGGGTTAGGTTTATTAGTGACGATTAATGATACCTGTCAACCATCAATAAACTTAAAAGCAATTTACATGCCACAGGGTAATTACAATAAAGATATCATGCCAACTGTTTATATCCACAGTAGGGAAAAAATTTCAGACCTGAGCTCTTAAAATTAGTGGTCACCAAAAAGAAACAAAAGCCGAATTGTTTAAGTTTGGGTTCTGGCCTACATTCCTGATATTACAGGTAATCTTTTATCCAAATTCTATCCAGGTCCAGCCCAGCTTCATTTTCTGAAATAAGCCAAGGTTGACAAAGGTGCTGCTTACAAGGTGAGCTCTGAAAGTAGGTTTATAACACTTTAATTAAAATACTTTCCTTTTAAGGAAGTACTAAATTAGGAACCCTAGACCCAAACACAGTGCTAAACCTCTTCAGGAGAGGAACATGGTAGAATAGAGAAGAATTAACATTATTATCTAATAAGTATGAAGAAACCGATTCTCCCTGCAAGCTGTTGATATTCACTTTCTTTAAAGCCGATCAATTGGCTCCCCGCTTGGGTGGTGAACTGGCATGATGGGCTATTTAGCTATAACTGGGAAAACACTGCAGATGCTTAATAAATAATGTAAGTTCCTGTTTAGTGACTGCCTTGTTTCACGATCCTTCACAGTTAGTGATGAAAAAGTAGCTTTATGACCAATTCTTGTATTTACAATTTCTGCAAATCTGTAAAGCAAAAGAAAAATGAAGTGAAGCACCAGTCACAGTTTCACTTTGCAACTGCTTCG